TATATATATATATATATATATATATATACATATACATAAATATGTATATATGTGTATATATAGCATATGTATATATTTACAGTTATGTATATTTTAGATATTTTTTGTATATTTAATATATATATATGTGATATATATTTATATATATGTATATATTATATATATTTGTATATATATATATATATATATATATATATATATAATATATATATATATACATATATATATATTATATATTTATACATGTATATATATATATCTTATATGTATATCCATATTTATATATTTATATATATATCATATATTATATATATATATATATATATCATTTTTTTATATGTGTTTATATATATTTATATAATATTATATATATATAATATATATATATATATATGGATTTTATATATATATATATATGTATATATATATATGTATGTATAATATACATTACATATGCATACATATATGTATATATATATCTATTTATATATATATATATATGTATATGTATATATATATAATATATATTACATATACATTCATATATGTATATATATATCTATATTATTATATATATTATATATATATATTATTAGGCATATATTCTTATATTATATCGTCATATATACTTATATATATACATAAGCACAAACACAATCACATGAACACAAAAATGAAAATGAAACTAGCCACAATTCTCCTGCCCATCCTCTTCCTTCCTTTGTTTCTCCATCTGCACTTGTCTTCCCTCCAACCCTCTTTGTTTTTCTTATGATTCGTTTCTCCTTTTCCTTTTCCCCCCATTAATCTGATCTCTATTCCCCCTCCCCCCCTTCCTCCTCCTCCTCCTCCTCCTCCTCTCCTCCTCCTCCTCCTCCACTCTCACCTCATTTTCTCTCTGCTCTTCCCCCTCTTGTTCCTCCTCTGCTTCCTCTTCCTCACTGCCTTATCCTCCTCTCTTCCCTCTTCCTCTCTATTCCCCCTCATCATCATTATTGTTACTATTTGTTAGTATTATTGTTGTAATTGATTTTGTTCTCCTTATGATATTCTTACTAGTTATTGTGCATACCTCATCTATTGCTCAGCTCAGTGCTCCCTTCATCCTCATCTTCGTCCTCTCCTTTCCCATCTCTCCTCCTCCTCTCCTTTCCCATCTCTCTTACTCCTCTCCTTTCCCATCTCTCCTCCTCCTCTCCTCCTCCCTTGATATTTGCTCTCCTTGTGTTAGTTTTATGAGTTTATATACATCCCTCCCATGTCATATGTTGACCTCTTTACTCTCACCATGATTTATGATGTCTTTTTTTTTTTTTTTTTTTTTGGGGGGGGGGGGCATGCGTGGGTTTTTATTCGTGTAAAGAAAATTGGAAAACATACAAATGTATCCATGATTATCTATCTGTGGAGATCTGATTATGTATAATAGGTATATCAGGAGTAAATTGACAATTTTTTATTTTTTTTATTTTTTTTATTTTTTTTATTTTTTTAATACTGTCATTATTATGGCACATTGTTCGTGGGTGTGTATGCACATAGCTGTACCTATTCCTGTAGATATATGCAATGTTTTGTTTATCTGTGGACATTTTCTGACAGCAGTTTCAGAGAAGTCTGCTTTATGCTTTCCCCCTGTACTTTGACCCAAAGGAAGTCACCCTGGGTTTGTTTTTGGGAAGTGTATTTGAATGCTGACTTTGTCCCTCTCGTTGCAGAACCCCAGCATGGGCCAACCTGCAATCTCAGGTAACTACGGCTTTGGTGGTCAGGGTGTGCAGCCAGGCATGGATGGCAACGTGGGCCAGGCCAACTCGGGCATGGGGCCTGGCCAGCGTCCCATGGGCATGACGCTGCCCCCTCGTTACCCTAACCAGGATATGATGAGCATCATGAACTCCATGCCCCGGGGGCCCCAGCCCGGCCCAGGCCCAGCCGGTCCTGGTGCGCAGGGGGTGCCCAGTGGCCCCCCTGTAGGCCCCCCGGGCCCTATCAACAGTGGTCCTGCTGGCCCAGGCCAAATGATGCCTGGGCAGCCTAGGGCCAACCCAGCTGACCCTGAGAAGAGAAAACTCATCCAGCAGCAGCTTGTCCTCCTCCTCCACGCCCACAAGTGCCAGCGGAGGGAGAGCCAGGCCAATGGGGAGGTGAGGCAGGTGAGTCTACAGGGCGCTATTCTCTCTCTCTCTTTCTTTTTTTGTCTTTTTCTCTTCCTTTCTTTTTCTTTTTTCTTTTCTTTTCTTTTTCTTTCCTTTCTTTCCTTCCTTCCTTCCTTCCTTCCTTCCTTCCTACCTTCCTTCCTTCCTTCCCTCCCTCCCTCCCTCTTCCCTCCCTCCCTCCCTCCCTCCCTCCCTCCTTCCTTCCTTCCTCTGTTACTTTCTCTTTCTCATTTTTTTTCTCTTTATCTTTCTAACATCTGTTTAGAGAATATTTATAACTGAATGAATAAGAGAAAGAGGGTTCTCTTAAATGAAGATGTTTTCTGAAAAATTTTAATAGCTTTGCAGTGTTAATAACATACATGTAAAACTCACATGTGTTTCTTCCCTTATTTCAGTGCAATCTTCCTCATTGCAAAACAATGAAGAACGTCCTAACCCATATGACTACCTGCCAGGCAGGCAAATCATGCCCAGTTCCTCACTGTGCTTCGTCACGTCAAATAATTTCTCACTGGAAGAACTGCAGCCGGCAGGACTGTCCTGTATGTGAGCCCCTCAAACAGGCCGACAAGAAGCAGCAGCCGGGCGCAGGAGGTGTGCCGGGCCAGATCCCACCTACTGTGTCCCAACCTGGCCCCAGTCCTGGTGGTGTTCAGGGGCCACTGACAGGGCCACCAGGACCCCCTGGGCCACCTAATGTGCCTGGCCAGATGACTGCTGGACCGCCAGGCCAGAATGCTGGTCCTAGACCTGGTGGTGGGAGTGGGGTCAAGCGTGTATATGAAGGGGACAACCTGCCCCCCAACCTCTCTGGACCTCCAGGTCCCACAGACCCCATCATGCGGACACTGCGGCCACAAGTTCCCACTGCGGGAGTGCCTGGCATGGCTGCCAACAACCAGCAAGGAGGCCCTGGTGGTGTCCAAGGAGGCCCCACAGGTGTGCCTAATGCACCTGGCATGCCTGGCCAGATGGTGAGGCCAGGTGTGCCCAACAAGGGGCCCGATGGTACCATGATGGGCACCCCCACCTCTCAAGGCATGAATTCACCTAGCATGATCGGCCGAGGGCCCAATGCCGCTACGGGACCCATGAATACTCATCAGCCACAACAGATCATCAGCAAGCCTCCTAATGTCGGCATAAATCAAAACAGTCCTGTTGTGAGTACAATAGTAAGTATGGTTGACCAAATGGAAACACTGGCCAATTCCAATTACCATTTATGTTCTGTTTTATAACTTTTTTTATTATTAGCGTTTTTTATTTTTTATTTTTTTGTTTAATTTTGTTCAGTGTTTTGCTTTATTGAAGCTGTAATCTAATAAGGACAATATCTTTGTTTCCCTACAGTCTATACCTGAATGGCTGAACATCCCAAATCAGCCAGCACAGCTGCCTAGTGGCTTTGGTTCTGTTACTGCCAAGCCTGTGAAGGGGACCAAAGAGTGGCACCAAAGCATATCCAACGAGCTCAGAAACCACCTTGTACATAAGCTGTAAGTGGTGCCTCTTTCTTCCGTATTTTTCTTTCTGTTTGTTTCTAGGAAGTGGTATGTTGATCACAGTTTGTTAATGATTTTGCATTTAATTACATGTTTTTTGTAAATTCTTTGGATTTTTTTTGTTTAGACGTTTAGAGTAATCTCATGAAAGATTGATGATAGATGATTAATTCATTTATGATATCATGTATTAATTTCTTACCAGTCAAGACTATTGTATTTATTGCAGAATAACCAAAATTATTTTAATAAATTTCAAGACTTCTCTAATGGCATATTTTTCTTCACCTTTTATCCATTGAAAAACATACCTTTTCTCGTTGCAGTGTGCAAGCCATCTTCCCAACGCCAGACCCACAGGCAATGCTGGACAAGAGAATGCAGAACCTGGTTGCCTATGCCAGGAAGGTGGAAGGGGACATGTTTGAGATGGCAAACTCTAGAGTAAGTACTGTCTTCTTTCCTTCATACAGTGGGTGTTCTCTCAAGGTTCATTGTGTTTGCTGATAAAGAATAAGTAACTACATTTTCATATGATTTCAGTTGAGGTTATTAACTATTGTTTTTGATACATGTGTATGATAATTCTTGTGCATCTTATTTCTAACCTATAGTTCAGGGACTATGCTCATAAAGTATTCATACTTCATTTAATGTAAGGAATAGGCTGTTTTTTTATCAAGTTGAGTTTGTGTGAAAATCCCATGCTAATGTCACCCGCACCCCATTCCCTATAGCCTGAGTACTACCACCTCCTTGCTGAGAAAATCTACAAGATTCAGAAGGAGCTGGAAGAGAAGCGTCTCCAGAGGAAACAGACCACTCCAGGGGTGACAGGACCCCAGGGCCCTCAGGGTCCTCCTGGACCTCCAGGACCTCCTGGGCCCCCAGGACCACCAGGGCCACCAGGACCCCCTGGCCCACCTGGCCCTCCAGGGCCACCAGGGCCACCGGGCTCCCTTGTGGCTCCGAGTCCGATCCTTACTCCAACCACATCAGGAGCCAGCAGCATCGGTAAGGACCTGTTTGTGGTGGAAGAAGGCTTTGCTCTTCAGATTTGAAAGACCATTTTACAAGCAGTCGCACAGTGTCACTTAACTTTGGGTTTATTTATTTTGTGTGTGTTTAGTTGATGTAAGATAGTATTTTCTGTCAAATCCTTTATCTGTAATTGTCCTTAGCATAGCAAATTCAAACTGACTTAAACTCTGTAAGTAACCAGCACCTCTCTCCCCTGTGCAGCAGGAATGGCAGGTCGCCCGACAGGGCCGCGGCCGGTGCACCCCCAGGGTAGCCTGCTCTCCACCAACCCTCTGGCAACTAACCAAGTGTCTCAGCCCACCTCCATCTGCCAGCCAAGCAGCAATGCGCAGATGGGCATGGGCCCCCTCCCCATCACCACCAGCGCCTCCACCACCACCACCAACAGCAGCATGGCTGGGCAGTTCCCAGGAGGTCCCGTCCCGCACAACGACATGCTGCAGGGGCCTAGGCCTAGTGTTCCACCACCACCTTACAGCACGCCCAATGATACGCCTATCATGAACCAGATGGCCAACCGGACCTCACCCGCTATACCTGTATCTTCTGTAGCAGCCACCCTGGGCATCCCTATCAGCATGGCCTCGCAGTCAACCCCCAGTTCCATGGGAAGCCTCTCGTCCAATGAGAACTCCTTCCCGCCCACATCTCAGCCAGGCATCATCACTACCAATGCCAACAGTGAAAACACAGTCATGCCCACGTCCATCCACACGAAGGACAGCTCTGTGGGAAGCCAACCAGTAGCTGTGGAAATGACCGAAGAGAAGCCTGAAAAGCCATGCAAGGTTGTGAAGATGGAGCCCATTGAGATCAAAACTGAGATCAAGACAGAGCCAGAGGAGACAGAAGGCAAGGAGATCAAGACGGAGCCCAAGAGTGAGCCCATGGAAGTGAGCACGGCCTCAGAGGAAGCCTCGGTCAAGCAGGAGATGGTGGTGAAGGAGGAACCCAAGAGCCCAGCTGCAAGCACCCCGAGTGAATCAGGCAAAAGCAATGAAACAGGTAGTAAAGGTGACAAGCCTACCAGTAGTGCAGTGGTGCCCATTCCAAGACCTGCTCCCACTCCTCCCAAACCAACGCCTGTGCCCTCTACCCCAGCCAAAGAACGCCCACCTCTCTTTAAACCAGATGAGCTGCGGCAACACCTTGTCCCCACTTTGGAGAAATTGTATCGGCAGGATCCGGAGTCCATTCCGTTCCGCCAACCAGTTGACCCTTCTGCTTTGGGCATCCCCGATTACTTTGACATCATCAAGAAGCCCATGGACTTATCCACCATCAAGCGAAAACTGGACACAGGGCAGTACACAGATCCTTGGGACTATGTGGATGATGTCTGGCTCATGTTCGACAATGCATGGATATACAACAGGAAGACATCCCGAGTTTACAGATATTGCACAAAGGTAATGCTGTCATTTTAGTAACCCTGACCATTTTAGACAGGGAGTTAAAGTCATATGGTGATGTTGAAGGTAGTTGTCAGAATTTTTAATGATGTACCACAATTTTTTTTCTTGTTTTATTTTTAAATATCTTTCTCCCACCTTACAGCTTGCAGAAGTGTTTGAACAGGAAATTGATCCTGTCATGCAGTCACTGGGTTACTGCTGTGGCCGCAAGTATACTTTCAATCCCCAGGTGCTGTGTTGTTATGGGAAACAACTTTGCACTATTCCTCGTGATGCCAAATACTACAGCTACCAGAATAGGTTAGTGCTTGTTGCAGTTCATATTAATGGGCCATGCTCTTACATAATGACAAAAGTAAGGAATGGACATTTACCTTGTACATTTACATTATTACAGTCAGCCGATTTGTACAAGATCAAGATGGAAATGATTTTTACTAATGAATTTTCTCTTTCTCCACAGATATACATATTGTTATAAATGTTTCAATGATTTACAAGGAGACACAATAACTCTGGGGGATGATCCTTCTCAGCCAGCTCTGTAAGTATTGTAAAGGCTTTATACGTAATGTTATTAAGTTAGATAATTATCATCCTAAATGATTCAAATTTGTTGTACAGAATGTTTATTAAGTCTATTGTAATTTCTTTGAAGGACAATCAAGAAATCGCAGTTCCAAGAGATGAAGAACGATGCCTTGGACCTAGAGCCCTTGGTGGAGTGCCTTGAGTGTGGCCGTAAGCAGCACCAGATCTGCGTTGCTTACCTGGAGACCATTTGGCCGCAAGGTTTTGTCTGTGATCTCTGCCACAAGAAGAAAAACACCAAACGTAAAGAGAACAAATTCACGGCTAAGAAGCTGCCAACCACCAAGCTCAGCAACTTCTTGGAGACGCGTGTCAACAACTTCCTGAAGAAAAAGGAGGCTGGAGCTGGAGATGTCTATATCAGAGTGGTGTCATCCACAGACAAGGTGGTGGAGGTCAAGGGAGGCATGAAAACCAGGTGAGATCCGCAGCACTCTTACACTTCTACTCCAGGCTCCCAATTCAGTCTGGAGTCATTGTATTTAAATAATTTCCCAGTGTGTAGGATTAGTAGCTGAAGCATATTGATACATATTTTTTTAAGGTGTGCTTTTGCAATCCCATTCATTATTTGAACCTTTGCATGAGGGTGAATGGAAGAATATATTTGGTTTAAATTTGAATTGTAGAACCCATTTAACCCAAGTCTTGTTTTCTTCCAGATTTGTGGATACAGGGCAGCTGTCACCAGAGTTCCCATATCGTGCCAAAGCATTATTTGCGTACGAAGTAATTGATGGAATGGATGTGTGTTTCTTTGGCATGCACGTCCAGGAGTATGGTTCTGACAGTCCCACACCAAACACACGACGTGTGTACCTGGCCTACCTGGACAGTGTACACTTCTTCAAGCCCAGACAGTACAGAACAGCAGTTTATCATGAAATCCTTCTGGGCTATCTCGACTATGTAAAGCAGTTAGGGTATGTATAATAAATTTATATGTATAATCTTTTCTCCCCCCTCACAGTGACTTGATTTTAGTGCTTTGAGTTTAGTAGAAGAATTGATGCCATATCCTAAATGTCTTTGAACTTTCCAGGTACACCATGGCACATATTTGGGCCTGTCCACCCTCAGAGGGAGATGATTACATCTTCCACTGCCATCCGCCCGACCAGAAAATTCCAAAGCCAAAGCGATTGCAAGAGTGGTATAAGAAGATGCTGGACAAGGGCATCATAGAGAGAATAGTGTTAGACTACAAGGACATTCACAAACAGGCCTTTGAGGACAACTTAAAGTCTCCTGCAGAGTTACCATACTTTGAGGGTGACTTCTGGCCCAATGTGATGGAGGAGAGCATAAAGGAGCTGGACCAGGAGGAGGAGGAGAAGCGAAAGCAGGAGGAAGCGGCAGCAGCAGAGGCCGCGGCACAGGCTGCTATGGGTGTGGAGGAAGAGGAGGAGACCAGTCAGGATGGCAAGAAGAAGGGGCAGAAGAAACACAAAAATAAGAACAAAAGTAAAAGCCAGCAGAAGAACAAGTCAAAGAGCAAGAATAATGCAGCAGGCTGCAATGATCTTGCTCAGAAGATATTTGTCACAATGGAGAAACACAAAGATGTTTTCTTTGTCATTAGACTGCACAGTGCTCAGTCTGCTGTGAGTTTACCCCCCATCCAAGACCCTGACCCCATTATGGTATGTGATCTCATGGATGGCAGAGATGCCTTCCTCACCTTAGCCAGTGAACGCCACCTAGAGTTCTCTTCCCTGCGTCGCGCCAAGTACTCCACCATGATCATGATGTACGAGCTACATAACCAGGGACAGGACCGTTTTGTGTACACTTGCAACCATTGCAAGACTCATGTGGAAACGCGCTACCATTGCCAGGAGTGCGACGACTTCGACTTGTGCACGTCATGCTTCAAGTCGGAGGGCCACCCTCACAAGATGATCAAGCTGGGCCTGGATCTGGAGGATGGTGTGTCCACAGAGAGCAAGAACCTGAACCCTCAGGAAGCCCGCAAACAGTCCATACAACGGTGCATCCAGTCCCTGGTGCATGCTTCTCAGTGCAGAGATGCCAACTGCAGGCTCCCATCTTGCCAGAAGATGAAGCGTGTCTTGTCCCACACCAAGTCATGCAAAAAGAAGAATAATGGTGGATGTGCAATTTGTAAGCAGCTCATTGCCCTTTGCTGCTACCATGCCAGAAACTGCAAAGAGCAGAGATGTGTTGTGCCGTACTGCTCCAACATCAAGCAGAAGTTGCGCCAGCAGGAGATGCAACAGAGGTTCCAGCAGCAGCAGCTGATGAAGAGAAGAATGCAGCAAATGAATGCCCGCATGATCAGCTGTGGCAACCCTCAACAAGCAGCTTCGACTCCACAACCAGTCCAGAGTCCCATCCACACTTCACAGCCCAGCGTGAAGCCTTCCGCACAGGGCCCTTCACCCAATGTCATGAAGGCCATCGCACAGGTAATATTACTCTGGTGAATTAGGGACAAAGAGTGAGTGTGTGAATGAATTATGTTAATGGGAGAATGCTCTTCGTTCTTAAATTTTTTATAGAGATCATATTAATTTTTCATAATACAGTTATCTTGCCTCATGAGGTAACTGAAATGTCAGACAGTTCATGTTTTGATTGCTCATGGTGTCCTGCATTTCCCAGGTTCAGGAAGAGGCAGCCAGGCAGACGGGGCCAGCTACAGCCGTGAGCTATGGGAAGGGCAACCCAGGCAATGGTGCAGTGTCGCAGGCCCCCATGATGCCTCCCCCCATCACTCCACAGCAGCAGGTGCGGCCTGCAATCCCGGTCAACACGATGGCCCCCATCACCAGTATGGGGCCACAGGTGTCTCAGATGAACTCCATGGGGAAACCCAATGCCATCATGCAGCAACAGCAGCACCAGCAACAACAACAGCACCAACAGCAGCAACAACAACAGCAGCAGCAACAGCAACAACAGCAGCAGCAGCAGCAGGCACCACAGCAGAACAGAGCTTTGCCAGGAATGGAGATGATGTGGAACAGGTATGCACAGAAGTGGAATATGTATCCCACAGTAATTTTGCTTCATTTAGATCTATGCATATATTATACTTATTTTAATCAAATTTTGTATTGTATTTTGAAGATGCACATTGAATTTAGGCTGATATAGAGTTTTTTCCTTTTTTTTCCCATCTATTTTTCTTTTCCTCTTTTTTTCTTGTTTTTGATATATATTTTTTCATGTCTGTACCTCTTCTCTTCTATTTTTGTATCCCCTTTTCTCTGTCATCTGCTGCTTTTGCTACTGTTTTTCTTTTTAGTTTTGTTAAAGGTTTATACATGTGCTCTTCAGCTTAATCCAGCATTTCAATTCAGGTAGTAACCCAGTTCTCAGGTAGAATATGGCACTTGCCTTTCTGAGCTGCCTAATTCTGTGTTATCTTAAAACTAGAACTCTCTGCCTGTGTATTTGTATTATGATAGTTTGGATTTCTGCAAGTATCTAATGCCCTATCTATGAACAGTTACATTAAAAGCAATCCTTTCATAAAGGCATTCTGTCTTTTGTTTTTATGATAATGAGAGGAGACATAACATACTTGATCTTATGTTAACTGCACCCTTTATTCCTTCAATGATCGTGTAATCATCTGTGTAGATTGCTGAAGCAGAGATAATTAAATGAGTCCCCATTGACCTGAATTTTTTCGTTGCAGGTACCCCAACCCTGGAGGCATGCCAGGGCAGCCCCAGCAGGGCCAGGCAGGTGGCATCAGACCAGGCATGATGGCCCAGCCCAACCAGGTGGCCCAGCACAGTGGAGCCCCTGGCCCACCTCCTGTCATGGGTCCTCCTGGGCAACCAGGTCAGCCTGGACAGCCTGGGCAGCCTGGCACGCAGCCACAGAGGAATGCCACCCAGGCTCTGCAGCAGCTCCTACAAACCTTGAAGAACCCATCAAGCCAGCACCAGCAGTCAGAGGTCCTACATATACTCAAAACGCACCCTCAGCTGATGGCAGCTTTCATCAGACATCGTCAGATTCAGCAGCAGAGTCAGCAGCCCCCACAACCAAATCCTCAGCAACCCCCTCAGCAACCCCCACAGGGACCAGGTGGCCAGCCAGGCATGATCGCTCCATGTGGGAGCATGCCTGGGACTGTGCAAGGCTCCATGCAGCCCACAGGGATGCAGCCTACAGGCATGCAACCCACGGGAATGCAGCCCAACATCCAGCCTGGGAACATGCAAGGTGGCATCGTCAACCAGATGGGCACCAACCCACCCATGCAGGGACAACAGCAGCCCATGGGCGTTCCTCCCACCCAGAGCAACATGTCCCATCAGCAGCAGTGGTACCAGCAACAAAAAATATTTCAGATAAGGCAGCAGCAACAGCAGCAGCAGCAACAACAGCAACAGCAGCAGCAGCAATCTCAGCAACCAGGGGGCTTCCAGCAGCCACAGGCGCCCATGGGGTATCCCCAGAGACGGCAAATGAACTTCCCTCAGCAGCATAATTTCCAGGGCGGCGATGGCCAGTTCGGCCAGGGTTTCCCGCAGCAGCAGCAGCAACAGCAGATGTTGATGCAGCAGCAGCAGATGAAGCCGGTGCCGCCTTCAATGTCGCCCCAGACCGTGGCGCCTGGCATGATGCCGCCGGGGTCCGCCATGACCAACCCGTCCCCACAGCAGCTGATGCAGACGGTGACGTCCCCTCCCCCCAGTAACCTCCCCCAGACGGTGCGGTCGCCGCAGCCCAACCCGTCGCCCCGCAACCACGGTCCATCCGTCCCCGCGTGCCGGGCCAGTGCCGTCGCCGCACCACCCTGCGCCCGTGCACTCGCCACACCCGGGCAGCCAGCAAGGCCCTACCATGGGGGCCAGCGGCACCCCCGGGGACTCCATGATGCTGTCGCAGCTGGGGCCGGGCAGCGGGCACCAAGGTCACCAAGCACTGCCACCCTTGCAGCCTGCCAACAACCAACAAATGGGGGGCATGGTGGCGACCTCTGAAGCCGATGTAACTCCTCAAGACAAACTCACAAAGTTTGTTGAGACATTATAGTACCAGTGTGCTACTTAGCCCTTGTAGATAGTCTCTTGTAAATATTTTGTATGTAAGTCTCTGATTCTCATACAGACTACAAATTGTGATTGTTATTTTTGCAGTGCTTTATATCTGCAAAACAGGAAAGATATTATGCTTCCTTGAAGCAAAACCAGAGGACATACTGCAGACCCCGAGCTGAAAACTCATGCCAATTCCTTAAAAGACAATTTAATTGCCCTCTGCGGGGCCTCTAGGCTTATGGAAGACTAAGAAAATGAACTCGGTATGAAAGTTACAAAAAGGAGATTGTCTTGAAAATTTTTTATTACAGTAACTTTGTACAACTTTGCATTAGTCATTAATTTTGGGCAGTTGCTGTCTTGTTTATAATTTGAAGAGTGCAAATAGGTCTTTGCCAAGGTATTAGCTAGACATGTTTGGTGCATTCTAGCTTGCTGAAATACTAGAGCAGGATGTACTGAGGAGATTGTGCCTGTACATTTCTGCACAATAAATGATGAAAGAGTAAAATGTAATGGTTTTGTTATGCCCCTGCCCCCCCTATACCCCAGCTGCAGAACACAGTGCGGGCACAACCTCAACAGTGACCTCCCTCATCTTTGACATTCCCTGTAGGTAACGCACTTGTCCGGGAGGTCCGCTGTCTCTGCCGGTGCTGTCTGTCGCGGCAGCTCAGGGGAGAGGGCAGTAGGGGGAAAGTGTTCACATGCAGCGGACCCGAGCGAAAGCTGCTGCTGCTGCTGCTACCACCACCGTCACCCCCCTGTGTAAAAAAAAAAAAAAGTTGGTAGCAGTGCCCACTGGCGCCCCGAGCACGCCGCCCGGCCAGCAGCCGCGAGGGGCGCCGAGTGGGCCACCCTTGAGGGAGGGTGTGTGGGGGAGGAAGCCGCAGCCAGTTCTCCTCTCGTCACGTCGCCTCACCCACCTGTCCTCTATACAGTTCTTTAATTTATTTCTCTTTAAAGATTGATAAGTTTGTTTTCACATTTTCCAACGCTCAACGTGATGTATGTATGTAAATTGTTGATTGTATTGTCTACCAACACCTGCTCATTGGAAGTTCCCGTTCTCGTCCTGTACAATGTATTTTAATGGGCATATTAAATTTTTTAACTGTCTGGTCCCCCACTTTGTTATGTTTAATGTTGACCAATGAGGAAGTGTTGAACAGAGGATTTGATTATTTTATAATAAATATATGACGAATTAAATATTTCTACTTTACCTTGGAATAAAGTTAAGGTGCTTTGACTGTCTCCCACTTTATCTTTCCTGTAGGTTTAGTGAGGAAAAGTGTGTATCCCCAAAGAAAAATCATAAGTATGGTTCAGTGGAATTTTAGTCTTGAAAATTGATTTGATTGCATACGCATAAGTTTGATCTGATGAAGTATGGAAGTTTGCAAACTCAAAACTTTTTTTCCTTATTTTTTTTTCTAATTACTGAAAGTGTTTCCTATTAATGATTGAGTAGCCCACTCTTGCCTTATCCCGAAGGGTCTTCTATTAACGGGCAAAATTGAATACCAAATTGAATGTAAACCTCAAGTTATGAATGAGAATAACTACGGAAAAGCAGAGAGGTTTAATAAGTGACCTCAGTAAGTGTTAAGGGATGGTATAACTCGGATCTTGATAAAAGTTTGAAAAAGTAAAAAAAAATCGACCTTATCAAATTGACACATTCATAAAAATTACACAACACCACACCCCTACTATAGACCACAGCCCTTGCCTCATAATTTTGCACGCATATTTCTCCCCCTTTCCTATCTTATCTTCATTCCTTCTGCCCACATCTCAAAGTGTGAGGCCCGTGCTGAAAAGCCGAGAGGCTGGCGAGGTGTCTTGAACGGCCTTCGTATTCCGTTTGCACTTTCCTCTTCACCCTTTTCACTGCCATTCTAACCTACAGCGCTCTACAACTTTTTGCCCAGATCATTAACTCATTTACCCATTTCGCCACATTATCCTCGTACTTTATGGCCTTTCCTCACCTGGGGCTTCACCCCCAAGCCTCACCATGTCGCTATATTTTGAATACGCCGCTAATGAGCTTACGTGTGGACGCGGCAGAAAATGTTTAATAAAGAAAAAAGAATTCTGTCGACTGCGTAAGATGTGAGCCGTGCTTTGCGTCTTCCCTGAAAAGCCTTCGTACTCTTTTTGCTATTTCCTCTTGGGTCCTTTTCTCTACCGTACTAGCCTGCAGCGCTCGACAATCTTTGACAACAAATATATTTTGTCTTATTCCTCAAACTCATTTGTACCCTTTTCCGCCACACCCTTTTTTTGCCACAATACTTTATCACTGCTGTATGACCTCTGATGTCTGGCACATTACTTGCTTTGGCCATTAAACATTCTGGGAATCCACTAACATCTGAACCAAAAAACACCAATGCACTCTGAATCACCTCAAACGTTGACTGCAGAAAATTTTCAACAAATAAATAAATACACTACACCAAGGGTGGCTAACCAGTCAATCGCGATCGACTGGTCGTTCACAAGCCTGTTTTAAGTCAATCACACTACTGTACCTGTTAGTAATTCGTCCTTCAGAAGCTGTCATGCAAATTGCTGCAATAGCATATCCAAGTACTCGTGATACTTGGATTATCATATATCTCTTCTTTTTCTGGAAATAAGTTATACTTATATTTATAATGATGTACATGTGTGAACAACATACCATTATTTATGTTTGGAGCTTAGGCTGGTAGATCGCGCCAGGGCAACTGTAGAAAAAGTAGATCATATCTCACAAATGGTTGGCCACCCTTGCACTACACCATACCCTACCTTAGCTTAGCTTCTTACCCTACCTTACCCTAACCCAACCCTACCATACCTTCCCTTACCCTACCTTATTTCCCTTGCTCTAACTTACCTTGCCCTACCTGCCCCTACTCTACCCTACCTTACCTACCCTACTTTACGTTACCTAACCATATCCCTACCTCTCCCTTTCCTTTCCTTTCCTCTTTCCTTCCCTTCCCTCTTCTAGTCTGCAAATGTTATACTGTGCTTTAGTGATCCATGATATTTGATGTCTGGCACATTTATTTTGTTCTGTAACCTTCTTTACCATTAACCACTTTCGAATATTCCGCGGCGTCAGTAATTCCAAGATGAGTGCTGGTAAATCTTTGGTTCTCAATCTTTATGGTGTCGTTACCCCATTATTACCACCGTTACTCCCCTTTCCCATTGTTCTTAAGGTATGCATAGTTCAAGAAATTAAAATACAATTGTTGCAATGTAAGTTTTTAGTTTATTTTATGGGTGATTTTTTTTTTCTCAAGAAGTATCGAATTTAGACCAGTCATGCCGTGGCCCCTCCACCATGAACTCTGCCTTAGCGGAGTGGCCTTCCCTGTCCGATCTTATCGACCCTTTCCTCGTCAATGTCAGAAATGGCGTTTTTCCACCCAACCAAACACCGTCACCGTTACACTATTCATGTCAAGTAATAACTGGATCTGAAAAGACTATCGTATATTGGTCGGGGCCAAAGAATGAAAAAGATTGGGAGCCACTGATTTAGACTTTATTCCTTTATTCCAAAATAGAAATGAAGCAGTGTTCTTTCCATTGCAAATTTGAACGAAATTATTATTTCTTTTGGTGCAATGAAAAAACACAATACCGTGTAGATAATATGGAAGAAAAACCCACGATGCACAAACTAGATTTATTGATGAAAGTGAGACTCATCAATAAATCTAGTTTGTGCATTGTGGGTTTTTCTTCCATTTCTTTTGGTGATTGATATTAATTTATTGTTGGTGCGAAAGCATGATGTAAGATTCGTCCAATGATAAAATATGAGGATTTACAGACCAAAGTGTACACGCATTACTCCACAGAACAATTACTTTTTCCCTCGTTACCCCCTCAAGAACGACATCATTACTATGCTATATCTGTGACACCAGCTGATGGGGGACCATGAATATCGGAACAGTGACTGTGAGAAGACCAAAGTAAATACAGGTCCTTGTGTTGGCAGAGAGAAAAAGAATTAAGAAACGTGAGGGTCGCCGCCTGCCTGGGTACCCGTAGAGCCAGTCAGCGCTCGTCAGCGTAGGTATCAGCCGCCCCAAGATCCTAGAGAGGGAAAAATGAGTAATTTGAGGGGCACCGCCTTCCCGGACGCACGCTGAAAGGAGGTACCTAGACGAGATCCGCGAGGACGTGTGGACGAATACCCCGCCGAGTTAGGCTCTGGCTGGGTCACCCTAGGTCAACCGTCATGGTCATCTTGATTTCCCGCCAGGATCGCTGGTATCGACCCCCCCCCCCCAAGGCAAACGCACCTAGCAACGCGTAGGAGGGGGGGGGGTCGCACAAGGGAAGGCGCTATTTTCTAACAGTGCTACGTATACCATATTGCTCAACTTTTCCGTTGTAAAAATAGGTAAATATTTGAAGAGTGACAATGAATAACATTGCTTACCTACAATTTCAATACTTTTTTTGAACTTTGATATGATTAAGAGAGATCATTTTCACTAACTATTGGACTGCAATTTTCACTCGATAAACAGGCTGTCATCACCTATTTCCCTCGTTGATTTAACTGTTCAGAGTATGGTTTTTGTCCCTTGAATATTGGCTGCAGTTCTGACAAGGGAGATTGCAAACTGCATTGAAAGAGGATAAGGATGAAGTCAGACATAAAGGAAGTAGAAGACCAGTCTATACGTAATCAGAAAAGCTGAAGAAAAGAATGTTAAAGCTATAAAAAATAATGCCTTTTTCTACTTTTACGCCAACAAATTCAAGAAAAGAGTGGAACTGGACCACTTGAAACGAGGGCACCTTGGCAGCTGACTCAAGGGAAACGGCTCGTCATCCTCGCAACCAATCGGGGGCGAGGTTTGAGACATCTCTCGGGGCTGCGTCGGGACGCCTCGGCCCGAAGGACAGTTGTTGGGAGACTGTTAAGCAAACGCCACTCCTTTCGGGTTGTCTTTTCCACTGAGGAAACTTTCCATTCCGGTGGCACTGCTGGGCACTGGTCTAGCCCTGCTGATGTGGCCCCCTGTCCGATCCGTTCGCTTGAGGTGCTGCTATCCTGAAGTTCTCCCTCCGGAAATGGTCGAACTCCTTCAAGAGTAATATGAAGCAATAACTACAGACCTTGATCATTTGTTCAGAGCTGATATTAATAAACAGTCTCTACTATATAACTTTAATGCGAATACATCACTAAAACAATAAAATGCACCAAGAGACTTAGCAGCTGGACCTGATAACATTCCTGGAAAAATACTGTAAATAAGGAAATCATCCCTTGCTCACTGAAGGAGGGAAACGGCCTTCCTGTGTCCACAAAGGCCAGGCGAAGAACTGCAGACCAGTGGCACCAGCATCTCAAGAATGATATTTGCAAGGTTAGAAAAATGGTCCAGTACCTCGACCAAGGAAACAAGATAAACCCTGGACCGCATGGCTTCAGAAAGGGCAGCTCCTTTCTGTCAGATCGTGAACCACTGCAAGGACACATGCGGAGAGAGAATAAAGAATTTGATGCAATATATTTAGACTTTCCAAAAGCTTTCCATAAAGTTACACCATGGAATTCTACTCCATAAGCTTGAGGGTTCTTGGGATCTGAGAAAAGGGAGGAATATAGATAAAAGGTTTCAAACAAATTGCAAGGGAAAATAATAATGGATATCATTCCAATGAATCAACTGTTAGAAGTGGAGTGCCACAAGGCTCAGTTCTTGGACCCTGTTGTTCCTAGTCAC